TGTCGAAAAATATATCCCAATTAGCGGATGCTCCCAATTCTCGCGTTCCCTTGTTCTCGTATTCTCACAATGCATCTAGTTCCTTACATTTCTTTGGCGCACCTTATCCAATGCTCTTTGCCCGCAGTATAGATGGCCTAACAGAATGTCGTCGACTGTCGCTAATCCGCACAAACGCAGCCCCAGACTGATGGGAAGAAGCCACTGGGAGGTTCACTGACCACGAAGGCGTGCAATAAAGCAGAAAGGCATGTGGCTCACTGAGACTACCCTCCCCCTTCCCCGCCAAACAATCGACGCCTAAAAGTTGAGAGAAAGATGCACTACACAAAAGGCTCAATAGACAAGAGTAAATGTATAGCGTAAAGAAGACAGAAACAGGTGAAGTTTCACTGCATGCTTATAACAGAATATTCACGTTGGCGCAGAAGTAATAGAACATCAAAGCTAATAACAATTCCATGTTTAGATAGACTGCTGCCCGTACAGTGATTGGGCAACTGAACAACTCAGAATTGACAGAGAGGTGTACACAAACAGGAAACGGGTATCACCGTATAATATTATGACCGCTTTAATGCCCACACGAGAACATGGCCTTAGTAGCCAAAGAATAAGCCGCGCGTTGTCATGAGCCAGCGCTCTGAGCTCAGGCTTATTCTTTGGCTACCAGGGTCATGTCTCGTGTGAGCTGGCTTCTTTGGTTGATTATCGTTAGTATGATACATTAGTACCGTCAAAGCGTTACATTCGAGAGCCAAAACGTACAAAAAATGGACGAATGAGGCAAAAGAGTTCAGATCAGAAAATAGGCCGAATTCCCGGCTCTAAATCCTGCCTAGCCTGCCTTGTATCCCGCCTAACTGCAAGATATGACTTGCCGGTTCTTCTCCAGAAAAAGCTGGGAATTGTGACCTTTAAGAACTTGTACCCTTTGCGTTTGCGTTGCTTCTTGTCTGAATAAATAATTAAACCTGAAGAAAAACACACTCACCAAACCTTTGCTAGACTGTAGATGTCGGAGAATTCCCCTTCTTCGGTGCTCGAACAAGGCACTTGTCGGTAAGCTAAAGGAAGCTTCTATTGTCAATGGCATCAGCATTTTCAAGCCTTTTCAATTTTTTTAGCAGTTTCAAAAGCATGAAGTCGTTAGAATAGACCCTCTTGAAGTTGAGTCGATTTGAAAGAGTAATTTGAAAGAGTAACAATTCAATTTTGAAGCACACTTACAACTTCAAAAATTCTCACCTCTGCATGAAGTGGTCGACTTGGTGCCATGGTTTAATAACCGAAAAAAGTGTTTTGCGACATGCACCATACGAATACCGCTTGATGGCGCAGTGTCGAGTAATACAGTTCTGACAGTCCTCGTTAACTCGGTGGCAAACAGTACAATAAGCAGTAAATAACGAATGAATGAGGAATGTGTAGCGTACGTAACGTTTTCATTGGAGAAAAAGAATCATAGAAAAATTTATAGTAACAACTTCAGCACTATAGTAAAGCATACTGTCATAATACGTCATGTGAGCAGAAACCTAGTGTCAGCCAGATCAAAGCAGAAAATTCTAGTAGTAAATCACAGGTATAACCACAGATCTTGAACGCAATACAATAAACGAATTACGAGGTCAGTCCAATTGGGGGGGGGTGCTGGGTGGTGAGGGGTCGCTTGAGACTAAGCACGCCATTCTCAACGAGACAGTTACCGCCGAATGCAGTTCTGGAAATCGGTGTTCAGATATTGCACGTGAACTAGCACAGTTCCCAACGCCAATGTATAACAGTT